GCTGAGGGGGCTGGGAAGGCAGCCTGAGGTACCCTGGGGTGTGGGTCTTTCTTCTGCGACCCCATGCTGCTTCCCTGCCAGGGAGCGCCTGGTCCGACTGTTCATACAAACACAAACAAACCAGCCCAGCTGGCCTCCAGATTGTAGGTGCTGTCAAGGTGAGATGCTACAGGACTTCAGGCCAAGGGAGCCATCCTGCTCAGGGGACAGTGAATAACCACGCCAGCCTGGGAGCAGGGCTTTGCCTTTCCCAACTGGCAGCAAGCAGGGGCCTTCCTGGAGTGAGCCTGGACAGGAAAGGGGAAGTAGGGAGAGGCAATCCCGAACCTGCTGAGGCTGCCAGAGCTGAGATGTGTGCAGACAGTGGGAGCCAGGTTGGAGGTTTAAACCCACTTTGCCCAGGTTCCTCTGAGTGCCTAGTCCCTCCAGGGGTGACCCCAAGATGTTCCCTTCTGTGGCAGGAAAAGCCCCTCTGCTACCCCTGACAGAGGGAAGAGGAAGTGGGCCCAGGGCAAGGTCTCAGAGGAAGGGACACTACTCATATCTGTCTGGCCTAGCCAGGCCCTGCCTTTGGCAGGGAGGGAGGGCACAGGGAGCATGAGGCTCTGGGTCACAGCTTCTTGAAGGGACCCCCACCTCCTCCTGCCCAGCCCCAACCCAGCACCTTGGCTCCATCCCCTGTAGGTGCTGGAGCCCCAGCCCACAACCCTGCGGTAGGAGCAGACTAACCTGCGTAGGACGAGCTGCCCCCAGCACGAGGCGGCATCTCTCCGCTGCCTAGCCTGGCAGCGCCACATCTCTAGGACCATTCTCTTCCTCACCTGGGCGCTGTGCTGAGCCCACTGCTGCTGCAGCCTCCGTAAGGCGCTCTGCCCTGAAACCAAACACAGGCCCCCAGTGAGAGCAGTCCCCAGGGCTTGGCAAGGCAAAGACCAAGCTGAGGCGCAGACACAAGACAGGATCATGAGAGCACACACCTTTGCCCCACCTCACGCCATGCACTGCAACCCCCAGCGAAGGAGGAGGGAGGTCTGCCAACTCATTAGGCAATAACAAGTTCAGGTGAATTATTCTGCTGCAACCCTGTGGTCCCAAGGACCCCATGGCTGTCCCTGAACTCTGGGGTCACTCAGCACTTTGCTGTGTCCATGGGCTCAGAACTCACATTCCACCAGTCCAGACCAAGACAGCTGCAAATCCCCATGAGCTATAAGCAGTACAGGGCATATGAAACACAATCAGCCAATTCTGCATGCAGCCAAAGGGCAGTGATGCTCACCCACATTAGACCCTCCACTACAGCACAGCAGGCTGAATGGGAAGAGCCTAAAAGAGAGACCCCATGCTGACCTCTAATGCCAGCACCAGGAACCCAATGCCCCTCCTCTCCCAACCCCTCAATGAACCACCAGAACAGCCAGGCTTGGCATAACTTACTCTGCCAACACTTGTGCCAGTGCCGCAGGGTATCTGTGGCCTTCTGGTGAAGCTGGTGTATGTATCTCCTGTCTGCCTCCACCCTCTGGCTCAGCCTCTGCTTCCACAGGGTGAGGGCAGTCTGATAGTGATGCAGACGGTACTGTCGGGACGCCGTGTCTTTCCGCCTCTTATCTTCCACAACCCATATGTGCCAGCTGAGGAATACCCTGCAGGGGGGAGGATACATGACACGTGAGGGGCTGGAGAGAAGTTCACATGGCTTCCCAGGGTCCATGGGCTTCAGGCAGAAGTGAGGGATTTGGATGATGGGAGGAATGATGTCAGAGAACTGGGGCTAAGGAATCCCTTCACAGCCAAGGGGCTCACCCCGATGGCATCTGCACCATGCAACTGGTACATCTACAGCGCCTCCTGGTCAGGTTCCTATGTGTTGCACCAGCACAAACACCTCATATTCCACCCTCCAGTCCATTAGAAAGACAGACCAAGGACTGGAGGGCAAGAGACTTACTCAAGGTCACAAGACAAGTCAGTGGCAGAGCCAGGAACAGGACCTGGGGAGCCTGACTTGGGTGTAGCCCCTACACTGCACTGCTTCCTACTAGATAAGAAGGTCCAGGAAGGCCCAAGTTTGATTCCCCCTTACTGCAGCCTGTACGACCCTGGGCAGGTCCCTTTGTATCCCCGCCTCAGGGCCCATCTATGAAATGGGGGCAGCAGCCCTCAGGAGGTCTCTAAGGATAAATGGGTTCAAGGTGGTTCTCACCGGGCCAGCTGGCTGTGCTGATGGTGTTGTTGCATCTCAAGGAGCCTCTTTGTTTGGGTTGCCCAGGCTGAAAAGCATTTCTGCAGGAGCCGCTGTGCCATGTGGTGCCCAAAGGAGATGCCGACACGGTCCAGCTCCTCTGCAGAGCTGCACACCTGGAATACAAGGGGCTGTCAGGAGTCCACAACCTGGCTCAGATGCCCCGGGCCCCTCAGTTGGTGATACCAGAGGCACCTGCACTTATTGCTACCTGTAGCCAGCAAGACCTAGTGCTGGGAGTCCAAGGCAAAACTGCCTTGCCCAGCTGGCACTAGGGCTCACAGCTGGAGGGGGAAGCAACCTCCTTCCCTGCCCGCACCTTTGCCTGATGGAGCACAGATAGGTGAGGCCTGTGGGCATGAGCCATGTGGGGGCACTTCAGTCATTACCTGCCATGCATTGCTCTGCAGCCCTGTTTCCTCCCATGCCAAGGAGCTGCAGAGCGACTGGCCCTCGCTGTCTGGGCTGCACTGCCCCAAGGATTGGAGGTGACTTCCAATGAACCAGCTCCCCCTGCAAAACATAGACACTAGGTCACTCCCTCCTCACAGGGCAGGGGAAGACGGGGGAGCAAGGAGCCAAGAGCAGCCTCCTCCTGGGCCTCACAGAGACAGAAGCCAGCTTACCTGCCTGGGGGGAACTGGGGGAGAAAGGATGTCTGGAAGTAGAGCTCTCCGCACAGATCGCCTGGCCCCGGTGGGCAGAGGGGTTGCTGCAGAGCAGAGCTGTAGTGGAGCGGGCAGGGGTTGTCTTCAATGGCCAGCATGGAACAGCTGCTGTTCTGGCGGCTGTCCTGATCACACACAAGGGAAGAACGTGGTTGTGAGGCCCATGCCCCCAGCAAGACTGTGCCATGAAAGGCCATACCTATGAAAGGCCATATCTAGGCACCAACACAGCCTCCCAGAGGGACTTGGGCAGCCCAAAGGCTATGCAAAGGCCGCCCTGATGGCAGCTTGTCCCATGGCACTGCAGTCAGTGGGGAAGGGAGCCAAGTTCACCACCGTGCTAGCCCCACGAGGGGCTGCTGGCAGGAACAGAGCAAGTGCAGCAATCATCAGCTGTGCACCAAAGAACTGCATCCTGCAGAGGCACCTGCAGCCCAGCCCCTCCCGCTGCTAAGGCCCTGTCCAGGGCCCCCAGCCCCTCCCGCTGGCTGGCATGCAGTGAGAATGCAGGAGAACCTCCTGCCCAAGCAAGTGCAGAGCAATCACGTGAGGTCCCCTCATGCCTTCTGCCCTACTATAACCACCCTGTCATGCCACCTCTCCATGCACTCCATACAGATATAGATCCCTTGGGGGCCCTCCCAGATCTGAACCCCCAGCAGTCTCTCACCCTATCCAGGGAGCTCCAGGAGACAGGAGGGGCTGGTGTGCTGCTGTGGAAGCCGGATGATGCTGAGGACTCCTCTGAATCCAGCCAGGCAGGAGGGCCCCTGGGCTGGTGGCTCAGTGGACCCAGCTGCAGAGCCCTGTGGTGCCAGTGCCTCAGGGCCTCCCGCAGCTGGCGCTGCTCTGATGCCCGGGAGAAGGCTCTGTGAAGGGAAGGTGAGGTTGCTGAGCCTGGCTTAAGGCCAGGTCAGGGCAATTCTGGGGTGGATGTGAACTGTGCCAGATCTGCCTCAGTGGAGGCACTGGCACCTCCAGACCCCTCGCTGGCAGCTTCAGCAGAGGGGCCAAGGACCCAGCAGGAGATGGAAGCTGGATCATGAGGGGTGGAGGCAGGGCAGAGCAGGCAGGCCTCCCTCCCTGACTGCGCTGATTCAGCATGCCTGCATGATGCTTTTTGTGCCACACGTGCAGCCCACAACTCTGCTCCGGACTCATGGTAGCCACCTCAGCTCCTGGGAGGTCCCTAGAGCTTTCCATGGAAGCCCTGGTCTTTCCACAGGGCTACACCTTGCACCAGGGCAGCAAAAGGGATGCAGCCCTACCCGCACTAAGGCTCCAGGCACATGACAGTGAGTGATCAATGAGACTTGCCATTCAGAGAAGAAAACCCAGTCTCTGCCCTTCTAGACCATCAGCCCCTTCTCAGCACCATCTTTGCTTGCTCTGATAATGCACAAACTTGGGCATTCTCTGGAACAGGTTCCATTGTGGTCACCAGGAGCTTCCTAGGGCTTGCAGCTGGTTGGAAAGAACTGCTCACTGGATATCTTTTCATCTATGCTGACAAGAAGAACACCAAAGCAACCTACCCAGAGGCAGACCTGAGCTGAAGGGCAAAGTGGTTTCTCATCTCAGGGCCCCAAAAGCCACCTGGCCACCAGACCCCCAATGGATGTATTCAGAGTTGGGTATTCTAGCACATACTTGGCTTGCTGTTGCTCATGGAGCCTTGCTCTCCATCTCAGGAATATCCTCTGGAGCTTCAATCTCTGGCAGTGGTCATCCAGAGAGCTGCCTCCTACCCTGAGGGACCATCTCAGGACGGTCGAGCTTGGCAGAGGGTGGTCATCCTCCACCGCAGGCCCTCTGGCAGCTGAGCTGGGTCCTTGACCTTTGCAGATCACAGACAGCAAAAGTTTGTCAGGAGCTGGAAACTCAGCCTGAGATGGGCAACAGGCAGAAGCTTTCCCACCCCATCCCACTTAGGAGACAGTTCCCTTACAAGACCTCCCCAGCCTTCTTCTAGGCATATCAGGCAGGGCCACAGAGTGGCTTGTAGCATGCCGAGCCTGGATCACTCTCTTCCCAAGGCCAGCTTTCATGATGATATGTTTTATATGAAGCCTAGCAGGCTCAAATCAGGCTGCCCTGAATTAAGCTGCTGAACTGTCACCATAGCACCAGACAGGGGCAAACAAAGCGTAACCCATCGGTATCACCCGTTTCTCCCAGGTCTAGCTGGGCCCTCACTGTAGTATCGCCTCTGTCTCAGGAGAAACAGGTCCATGGTTGTCAGCTTGTCTGCTTCCCTGAGCTGCAGTATGAGAACCCACTGCTGGAAGGATTTCCTCAATGATGCTGCCCTGTGCTGTTCCAGACTGCGTTTGCAAAGTGTCTTCTGCTCAACAATCTGCTTCCATGCACAGAAACACCTGAGAAGACCAAAGGCAAAAATAAATCAAGCCGCCCTGGCTGACTTCCTTGAGAATGGGCCATCCTTGTTCAGAGTGCTTGGGCATTCTGGGGACTGTAGGAGTATTGTCATGGGCCCTTGAGCCAATCTCCTTCCACCTCTGGATTGAGCAGCTGACTCCAGACCAAGAGATCTTCCTAACTTGTGGCTGTCTATTGACCAAGAAAATGAACTGGACTACAACTGGAGTTGCAGCTAGCAAGGGACGTGAAGGGCAATGAGAAGAGTTTCTACAAGTGTGTTAGCAACTAGAGGAAGGTCAGGGAAAGTGTGGGTCCCTTATTGAATGGGGGAGGCAATGTAGTGACAGATGAGAAGGTAAAGTCTGAAGTACTCAATGACTCTTTTACCTTGGTCTTCACAGGCAAGGTCAGCTCCTGCACCAGGCAGCAGTCTGCGGAGAAGGTGAGCAGCCCTCAGTGGTGAAAGAACAAGTTAGGGACTGTTTAGAAAAGCTGGATGTGTACAAGTCCATGGGGCTGGATGCAATGCATCCAAGGGTGCTGAGGGAGTTGGCTGACATGACTGCAGAGCCGCTGGCCATTATCTTGGAAAACTCATGGCAACTGGGGGAGGTCCCAGATAATTGAAGAAGGTCAAATATGGTGCCCATCTTTAAGAAAAAGAAGAAGGAGCATTTAGGGAACTACAGACCAGTCAGTCTCACCTTATTCCCCTCAAAAATCATGGAGTAGGTCCTCAAGGAACCCATTTCTAAGCACATGGAGGAGAAGAAAATGATCAGGAGCAGTCAGCATGGATTCACCAAGGGCAAGTCATGCCTGACCAACCCAGTTGCCTTCTATGATGAAATAACTGGCTCTGTGGATGTGGGAAGAGCAGTGGACACAATATACCTTGACTTTAGCAAGGCTTTTGATATAGTCTCCCATAGCATTCTTGCAAGCAAGCTGAGGAAGTACAGGTTGGATGGCATGGACTGTAAGGTGGGTACAGTGCTGGCTGGATCATCAGGCTCAAAGGGTAGTGATCGATGGCTCTATGTCTAGTTGACAGCCAGTATCAAGTGGAGTGCCCCAGGGATCAGTCATGGGGATGGTTTTGTTCAATATCTTCATTACCAATCTGGAAGATGGGATGGAGTCCACCCTCAGCAGGTATGCAGATGACACCAAGCTGGGGGGAGCAGTAGATATGTTGGAGGGTAGGGCTAGGATTCAGAGTGACCTAGACAAATTGGAGGATTGAGCCAAAAGAAATCTCATGAGGTTCAACAAGGACAAGTGCAAAGTCCTGCACTTAGGACAGAACAATCCCATGCACTGCTACAGGTTTGGGACCAACTGGTTAAGCAGCAGCTCTGCAGGAAAGGACCCGGGGGTTATAGTGGACAATAAGTTGGATATGAGTATATGAGTCAGGGGTGTGCTCTTGTTGCCAAGAAGGATAACAGCATACTGGGCTGCACTGGTAGAAGCGTTGCTAGTAGATCAAGGGAAGTGTGTATTCCCTCTATTTGGCACTGGTGAGGACACACCTGGAGTACTATGTCCAGTTTTGTGCCCCCCGCTATAGAAAGGATGTGGAACAGTTGGAGACAGTACAGCAGAGGGCAATGAAAATGTTGAGGGGTCTGGAGCACATGACTTCTGAGAAGAGTCTGAGGGAACGGGGCTTATGTAGTATGCAGAAAAGAAGAGTGAGGGGAGGATTTAATAGCAGTTTTAACTACCTGAAGGGGGTCCAAAGAGGATGGAGCTGGACTGTTCTCAGTGGTGACAGATGTCAGAACAAGCAGCAATGGTCTCAAGTTGCAGCAAGGAAGTTTAGGTTGAATATTTGGAAAAAATCTGTTACTAGGAGGGTAGTGAAGCACTGGAATGGGTTACTTAGAGAGGTGGTGGAATCTACATCCTTGGAGGTTTTCAAAACCTGGCTAGACAAACCGTTGGCTGGGACGATTTAGTTGTGGATGGTCCTGCTTTAAGTAGGGAGTTGGACTAGATGACCTCCTGAGGTCCCTTCTAACCCTGATTTTCTACGATTCTATGAATTAGGAAATTTCCAGCCAGTCCCATCCCGCTCCCCCCACCCAAGGGTGTGCATCTACAACACCAAATCCACAACCAGCAACTGCCAACCACCAGAAAAGCCAACCACCAGAAAAGCCACAGAAACCGAACTAACCTCTCAACCCTACATGCGCCCTGTCCAGGACGAAGGTGAACTCCCTGGTGGGAATGTGAAGGGCAGGCCTGCACAAAGCCATATGTGCTACCCCACTCTGGCTAAGGAGAGGAACTCAGTCAAAGGCATTGAATTCATACCCCTGAATGTTCTTAGTCTTTAACATGGGGGCTACAGGGAAGGACTCAGATGGAGGGAAAAAGTGAAGCTAGGAGTGAATTAACCTCCTTTACACCTGGAGATCAGGGGCCAAACTTCAGATGAAGCCAGAGAAGACAGGAGTTGGGCTCCCCCTCTCCTTGTCTCCACTGATGATATCACAAGGCCTTGGAGCCCCAGGAAGAATCCTGCAAGCCTGGCAATCTCTGCTGCGGTGTCTGGACCGTGGCATCAGAGCTGTGGGAGGATGCACTGCAGCCAAGTTACACATGGGTGGCGACCTCCTGCCTGCCCATGACAGATCTGCCTCATGTCGGAGCCCTAGGCTCTCCCCATGCACACCAGATTCACTGCTCTGAATAAATATGGGTGTAAAGGGGGATGGCTTTGCCTAGAACTGAACCCAGAGTCCCCAACCAGGCTGGCCCTGTCTTTGTTGGGCTGCTGTCTGGACTTTCCTGGAACAACACACCCCAAACTGAGCCAGCCATTCCCCAGACCGTGCCTTCTCCTGCATACCGAGCTGTCCGTTTTCTTTGGAGCTGAGTCACCAGCGACCAAACCTGCACTGCCTCCTGGCTCCGGGAACGCCATGCCTGGAAGATGCTCTGGAGCCGCTTTCTCTCCAGGAGGGCACAAGCTTGGCTTGCTCTGACCTCCTCTCTGCCCAGCAGCTCCTTCTGCAGGCACCACAGTTGGAAAGCTGCTGCGTGACACAGTGTGGGGGAGGGAGGGAAGGAAGAGAGATGTCAGCTCTGAAGATATCAACACCTCAGCCCCAACCCTAGTGGGGTACGGGGCAGCTGGCAACATCTGCTGAGAATTAGCCCACACGGTAGCCACAGCACCTGCTAAACTTGCTGATTAAATGAGGCAAAGGGCTTGTTCAACAGCATCACAGGTATCTGATCCACAAAGCTACTGAACTGCCCCCTCTCAACCATGCCCCATGCTCTGCAGAATCCAGAAGGGCACAGCACCCCCTAGACATCCAAGCCAGGCTGTGCCATGCTGCCACCTTCCCAGGCTGGGAGCAGGCATGTCTGAGCCCCCCACACACAGAAAGTGAGCACTTACCAGCCAGGCGCCTCAGATCCCCGATGGCCTGTGCCCTCCGCCCCAGGTCATTAGCCCTCTGCCGGTGATGGAGTTGTCTCCACAGCTCTCCCTCCACCCTGAAAGAGTCCTGAGTTAACCTCCAAGTCTGCTAGAGCAGGCACCCACAGAGACACAGCAGGGGACAGGGTTGCAATCCAGGCCCTGCGGCTGTTTGGAGCTGGACTCAGTGCTTCTGCCACAGAATCTGAGGAGCAAACAGACCCACCCTTTCACTAGGCCTGCTTTCCTGCCAGGGCCTGAGGTTCTCTGACCCCTTCACAAGTAGACCTGGCAACTGGATTCCAGAAAGAAAGAGAGCTCTCATCTCCTCCCGGTCTCAAACACAGAAATCTGCTCCCAAAGCACAAGAAATGCATTGGAAGAGGAGCTGTTTGATGCTCAGAAGCTGTGAACATAAACAGGAAACCTCATCCCTGGAGACGAAGCTATGGAGCCAGGGATGCGCATCCTACTGCTCTGCACTTCCTCAGACAGGATCTTGGTAATACAGAGTCCCCTTGGGCCATGCTTCTAGCCCCATCATTATCATCCAAGATGAGAAGCCATGAATGAGAAAAAGCTTTGCATACCCACTGCTCAGTGCTGCTTCTCTCAAGGGCCCTGTGCCCAGCTGGCATTCAGTCAGGGCTGTTCCAGCTGGACCTTGGCTGTACCCAACACTGCCGATGGGCAGATCTCTGGTCTGAAGGCTTAGCTCACTCTGGGAAGTTCCTCTTCTGCTCTGCTTTGCCATTGCCTCTTTCCACTGAAAAGCGAGCAGCACAGTCAGACCCCACCACAAACCGAGCCTGTGACCTACCCACACCCTGTAGCAGGGGTCCAGGCACATCTGAGCAACACTCCCCATCCCCTTGCTCTCCCTTCCCCAGCAATCCTATGTGGCAGGTAGCACCTCCTCTGCCATGCCCTACCCACTCTTACCCTGTCGAAACTGCCAGCCAGCATGGCCAGGGTGTATCTCTGCTGGGCGGTCTCCAGCTGAGTCTTCCTCAGCTGCACAGCCCACTGCAAGGCTGCCAGCCCCTTGCGGAGCAGCTGCTGCTTGTACAGCTTCTTGGCAGCGGTTGTCTTCCCAAGGACATGGCTACTCCAGGCCTGGAGACATCTGCTCAGCAGGTGCTGATTGCCTGGAAGCTGAGCACTGGCAGGGAAGAGGAACTGAACCTCACCACCAGCAAACCAGAGTCCCATCCCACAAGACCCACCTCAGCTTGCCCCATCACTGCAGAGTCTGAAGGACCCCAGGACCCTCCGAGACAGTTGCCAGATTATGCACACAGCTACAGCTCTCCACCAAGCAGAGTCGTAAGCACTGTGAGGTCAAGGGAGCTCCCACTTCTTATCCCAAAGGCCTGAGGCTGAGTTCCACAGCAAGACTTGAGCTTGGTGAGCAGCCTCAAGGATATGTTGCAGCCTTACAGACGGCACTTTGTGGATGAGACATTAAACCAAGGGAAGGCAGAATTTCTCCACCAGGGAAGACAGAATTTCTGGCTGCTGCATCCATGAGGGTAACTCTTCTCCCAGCCCTACCCAAAAGTATGCTGCTGAGTGCAGCCCAAAACCATGAGCCCCAAGGAAGCACTCCCTTGCCAGCCATACCCCAGCACAGCTCCCCTCACATGCCCAATAAGCAGACACACAAAAGCCATCCTACCTGCTCTCCATCTCCAATGCCAAGAAGTCACTTCCTGGGATCTACAAGCAAAGAGAAGATGGAGAGGAGAAAGCCATCACCAAAAAATTACTGGTGTTCAGCGAGGCTATCACAGCTCCTCACAGCCTGACCTCACACCTAGCATCTCCCTGCTGACTGGAGAACATGCACCTCCATGTCAAAAGCCTGAGTGCCCTAGCAATGTCATCTTGGGAACAGGCTCATTCTGCACCCTCCCTTCAATCAGCCCTCGCACTGCAAATATCCCCATAGCTTCCAACATGAGGAAGGATAGAAAAGCTGGATCCTCATGAGACAAGGGAGCAGAGCTGCCTCGGTGCTCTCCATCCCAGAGCAGGCCTGGGAGGATGCAGTGCAAAGGCAACAGGCTGGTTCTTGAAGAAGGGGGCATTACAGAGAGGGATCAGGGGCACGTGGGATGCCATAAGGCAAGGTTTATGCTAGGGCTCCTGTGGCGGGTGCAGAGATCCCACCTCAGGAACACAGCTGGGTATTAGTATCCCTCCGCTGTTTCCACCACATAAGGCGGGCCAGTAGGGGGCGCTCCTGCGTTGAGCCGCCCACCTCCCTGCGCCCAACCACCTTCCAGGCTCCGAATGCCACCCTAGGGGCGCCTTATGTCCGGCCGACCCCTCTCCTGGAGCACACT